GGTGTTATTAGAGATTAATTAAATATCTCTCCGAGATTGCTTTACCAAATCAAATACTCCAAATCAAGTGTTTGTTAACAAAGGACTATACAAATTAGCCACTAATGACTTGATTTCTACAGCGAAAACTAATAACGATGTTTTGTTGTGATAATCACTTTTGGTATGAACCTATAGATAATAGTGAGGAATAAATTGGACTTTCGGAGAAAGCTTCATGGTGAGTGAAAAGTAGATGTATTTTGAACCTTTGAATGTAACTTCTACTTAACAAGGTTTATTAGAAAATTATCATATGCAAGATGTTAAATCCATTCCAAAAAAATTGTGAGAAAAATGATTTGAAAAGAAATAAAAAGATAAATAATCAATCTGATCACAACAACAAAGCAACGAAAGAAAAGAACAATGAGAGAAAAGCGAGATTCAAAAATATTCTGAACGAAAGAAACTGTTGGGTTTAAGTTCAAAAATATTTTCAAAAACTCATAATATTAACAACGAAAGTCTTAAAATTTTAGAACATAATAACAATTTAGAACCCACCAAGGATCTTCTTGCAAGAAATTGAAAGATAAAAACACAACCATAGAAGGAAGAAGCAACAACAACCTTTGATGAACTTTGGGTCCTATGTCAAATTTCTTTCGTATACTCACATTTTCCTTGTCGATAATGAATGTATGGTCGTTATTAATCTATGACACAACGAAAACTATTAAGTTTCTCTAGAAAGATATAATAAATGTACAAATTTAAAATAATAATATCGTAACATCAATCGAAACGTAGGAAAAAAAAACTCAAACCAACACAAAACCTTTAAAATTGTATTATTCTTTCTATTATGTTTTTCCCTCACACTTTATATGAGAATTGTATTCCTGTGTTACTCAAATGATTGATCTCTTTATAGTAAAAAAATCAACTACTAATCATTTGATACTCATAATTATATCATATTAGTTCAAATACTTAGTAATTTTAAGGTATGAGTTAAAAAAATTGAGTGATTGTCCTTAATTAGTTGAAAAATAAAGGGTTGTAAAAGCTTCCAATGAATATGGTATAAGAATGGATCATATCCATTTAAATAGTCTCCTCTATAGTATAAGAATGGATCATATCCATTTAAATAGTCTCCTCTATATTATTTACAATGATAATGATATATGAATGACATTTCAATAAACAATTCTCTCCATATATTATTTTTGATAAGCCATTACCTTGATAGACATTTTTTGCACAATTCTTCTACAACCAAAACAACCTATCATGATTAACTCGAATATAGAACCGTGCGAGTTTCTAATTGTTTTGTTTCATTATGCATACAAAGCAAATCACTCAACTCCCAAAATTTAAATAAATCCTTCAATAAAACTAAAATAATATCCAAATAAAAATCAAACAAACATTGATACACATGTTACATCCATCATCTATGAAAATTATATTTTTTTTATACATAACTATTCGTTTTATAATATTTATTTTACAAGGAAATAATTATTGCATGTCATCAAGTATTAAGCGCACCATCTATGACCACAACATAACACCTAGATCCGTTCATATTTTCTAAAATGTTTTTCACTATAAAACATACTCAAATATGGTTTGTATTAAAAATATTTTAAAAATAATAATTAAACATAATGTACAATCATTAAAGATAAATGAAACTCAAAAAACAAACAAGAACAATGTCTCATATCATCTACCCTACTCACCTCATATAAGTTATAATTTTTTGGTCCAGCTTAAGAAATGGATGAAAACACATACAACAAAGGCAAAACCAATAAATACATTAAAACTCTCATCCAAGCCGCACAAGATCCTATTTTGGTTTCTTTACATTTGATTAGTTGATGAATAACACACTTCCAAAAAACACAAAGCAAAACTATAACAATATATTCATTGTGCCTTCTTTGGAATATGACACGATTTTGAGAAGAAAATATTTACCATTTTTGCTTTGTGCAGGGACCTTAATAGATGAAAATGTAACTAGATACTATATATTTTTAGTGCAATAGATTCAATGGATGAAAACATGCACCCAATAAACACAAAGTTGATAAATATTTGAAATACACATATACTCAATGACATCTACCCGCAATTTGCATGAAAATTTATGTATAATTCTTGATTAGTGTTACTTTTAACTATTGTTATAACTAATTAATTTGATACGTACTTATTTGACCATGTGTTAGTTTTAATCATGATGATTCTTTAGAATAACGACCCTTATGTAATTAATAATTTTTTGTTACTGTTAATTACTTTTATTGTTAATTAATATTTTTCAAAAAAGTATTGTTATTTAATATTAAAACAACCGGTTATTATTAAAAATTTATAGAAGACTTTTGAAAACTATCTATTACTATTTAAAAGGTTATAGATATTAAATCTAAGATTTTTTGTTGCAATACGATAGATTATTCATTTAATACGATATTTTTAAAGTTTATCAACAATATAAAAATATATGGGAATGTAACTAATCAAAATATTGCACTTATAGACAACAATAAAAATAGTTTACTATAGTGTAGAAATTGAAGAGTTATGTTTCAATTTGAAACACCCAAATATATAAATAAGATTTTATTACAAACATAACACACGATAAAAAAAAATCAAAGCTTATAATATATAATATATAGATATATAAAAAAATCAATAATTGATTAATTAGGAATACCAAAAATCTCAGATAAAAATCCAAATTATCAACTCATTAGATAAGCTTGGGTTTTAATAAAAAATTAACATTAAAACAGGATAAAATAATATAATGTCACTATGAAATTTCTTTCGTATACTTACATTTTCCTCATCGATAATTAATGCATGGATGTTTTTAATCTACAACACAGAAAGAAAACTATTAAGTTGTTCTAGGAAAATATAACAAATCGACAAATTTAATGCGTTAATATCGTAACATCAATCGACACATAGCAAAAAAAACTCGAACCAACATAAAACCTTTAAAATTGTACTTTTCTTTCTATTATGTTTTCCGTCGCAATTTATATGAAATTTGTGTATGTGTCACTCAAATGATTAATCTTTTTATAGTTAAAAAATTTTAAATACTAATCATGTGATTTTAAGGTATAAGTTAAAAAATTATTGAGTGGTTGTCATTAATTAGTTTAAAAATAAAGGTTGTGAAGAATGAAACTTATCATGAACCATATCTAATTAAATGGTCTCCTATATATTCTTTATAACGATAATGATATATGAACTAGCTAGGGAAGAGCCCCGCTTTTCGGGGTTGGATCTGCCAGAAAAACCTGTCTAGGGTCAAAATGAACAAAGCAATAACACGAAAAGAAATAAACAAAAAACACAAACGGAAAAACCATTTCTTTTTCAACTAAATACAAACTTGAATTCCACATAAATAAAATAGACCCTCATTTTCATCCATGCATTTAATCTAAACTTTTGCCAAACACTTTCTGTTGGTGTAGTCTTGCTCTTTGACATCTATACCCTTGGAGACATGGTTATACTATTGAGTCATTTCAGATCATTGTTTATTGAAATGATCATTAACCCTAGTGGAATAGTACATATAACTTTTATACTTTTGGAGGCTTTTATTTTTATAAAACTTTTTATCCCAAAAAAAAAAAAAAAAAAACATTCCCTGTTTAGAAAATGCTGCAGCAAAACAGCCCCTGTGTTGTCCTCCACCTAAAACGCAGACGATGCATGATGAACAAAAACTAAAAATCAATCAAATAAATCATAAATAATAAAAGAACACATAGAAAAATTGGGGAAAATGAGCAAAATACACATCAAATCCATCTAAAATCAAACATTTTACAACCTTAGAGACCAATCGACAATACTAATGATAAATAGGTTTAGGAAGAAGTTATAATCATGTATTTCCCCTGAAAGCTCACCTCTGGGAATCAACACTTCATTACTATCTTCAAATTGGAATGGAAAAGGGTAAGAAGACATATGCTGTGAAAGCTCACCTCTGGGAATCAACAATTCTGCAACACTGACATTGTAATCAGGAACGAACACAACCTGTAAAGAATGGAATCTGTCAAAGAAACTGGAATCTTCTCAACCAATTTGTATTGCTGAAGGCTGAACATAAAAAAAAAAAAAAAAAAAAAAAAGAAAGAGTGGAATCTGTCAAAGAAACTGGAATCTGTTAAAATTAAAGTTCATTTCTCCATAATAAGTTTATAAACTTTTCACATCATGTTGGCTGCAAAAAAAAAAAAAAAAAAAAAAAATAGTTATATAAGCACATCAAGAAAGTAACATGCAAGTGAAAAAACTAAATAATAGTTTGTATAATGTCATACTCATCATATTTTTTTTGACCATCTTCCATAAATCTGTTTTTTATCTTGCCTTTTTCCTTTTGGACCTTTTTGCCCTTATCTTTATACCAATTTGCATTTCTTTCTAATAGACAAAAAGGGGAATGTTTGTGTGTTTTCTTGTAAGTTGTACTTAAAATGAACTTTATTACTGGTATAACACCAATATCTAGGCAAAAGTTTATGCAATTAGCAGAAAAAAAAAGTGAGACCAAACGGTAAGAACTAAAGCTGAAAAGAAAGAACATAGTTGTGTCTAGTTCATACAATTTGAAAATGAAAGCTCCTCACCTTCCAAATTGTTTGTTGGGTTGTTTTCATAAGAAACTCAATTGCTTGCCATAAAAAAAAAACCACAATTCTAGTTAACATCCATATAAGAAATAACAACATACTATTATTTATTTGTTAAATCTATACCCATTATAACATTGTAGTCTCAAAACTCCATTTTGAAATTAGAAATCCAAAGATCTTAATAATATTCTAATTAGGATATTCATGTATTATCTGGATGTAAAAATCAAGAAAAATAATGCCTTGAATTTTTTTTATATAAAAAATACCACAATTTTTTTAAAAAATTGTAGCTGAGAATCATTCCTTAGATACCAAACCGAGGTACTTTATATTTGGGAGTATTTAGACTATATGTAATTAACATCTTCCCTCGTCACCCAAGCTTTAGACAATGCCCTCTCAACGTACAAAATAACAACACCACGTAATAAAACATACAAAAAATATTTTAAAAAGTAATCAATTATCTTCTGAATTAACTAATGGCTGGGAGCAGCCAAAAAAATGATGAAAATATGAAATATTCGTTGTATAGCCTCTTAATAATTTCTCTATGTAACACGAAAGATATTCCCAAGTTTAGATAACCAAATTCTAAAAGTTCTGGTCATTTAAGAATCATAAATAACAAAGATATTCATTAAAACCAAGAAGAACAGTCAAATTGCCCATAAATCTTTTATAATATCTCCATCCCAAAGTTAGTTCTTACATCTTCCAAAAGAACCAAATTTAAAACCATGTACAATCCGAATTTAACATGTTAAACAGATGAAAATCAGAAAATAAGAAAGAGCCATTTCGTTATATATAAATTAAAAAGAGAGGAGGCTTATGAAGAGTACCCGAGTTGGGTACCATCAAAAGTTCTAATAGGACTTTCATCAAACGGCTTATATGCATAACTAAAAATAAGAGAAAAAAGTTAAATTCTTGTAAAATTAACAAACTCTTATATACATTCACATAAATTACCCACATTAATACACACATGCAGAATATAGTTCAATCAATTAGAACAGAGATAATAAAAAGGTACTTACATTCAGGTGTTTCTCAATTGAAGCTCTATATTCGTCATCACACTCAACTCCAGCAATCTAAATTGAAATTGAATATTAATAAGTGAGAAAGAAGAAGTAAAGGAGTAGCACCTCTAACATAGTACAAATTACCCACCCGTCCTGAACCTCTTATCCAACATGTGATGAATAGCAAAACCACCATAACAGCCCCTGTGGCCAATCATCTATGTGGCCGCCTTCTCTCTTCCATTCCAAAAATTAACGTTCTTCAGTATCTTCCTGAGCTTCTTCATCTTCTTCTCGACTTACACTGAACAATCGATTATCAAATTAAGAAAGAAACCGTAGACCAAATCTGTAAATATGCACACAAGGTCCCAAATTAGTCCCAAATCTGTGAATGTGTTGAAAATCATATTCAAAATCACGTACCATGTTGATTTCAGACAAAAGAAATCGATTTGATAGATGGAAAAGAGAACTTACAGTCGGCGTTGTTGGCGAAGGAAGGTAATGGATGTTAGACGATGTATGCTATATGGCAACTCAGAGGCAAAAATCGACGCCTTGATGGGGGATTCAGGGTTCACCGGTGATTTTATGGCAGTCGATTTGGGGAAGCTATACAGAAGTCTTGGAACATCAGAGGTTTAATTGGAGATGATAGCAGAAACAGCCGGAGCCATAATCGAATATAGAAGGAAGAAAGAGCGAACACAGGAAGGGGAAAAAGCAGAAACACACGGAGCAGAGAAGTGGTAGAAGGAGAGAAGAGGATCGAGGCAGTGGAGACGATCGACTGTAATGGAGAAAGAAGAGGGATAAGCAGATCGGCTGAAATGGCGGTGAACAGAAATCGATGTTGGCGGTGGGGGTATGCTGTGTAAACAGATCCTGCTTAATTCAGAGTACAAAAATGGAGAACAGAGAAAACAGATAACAAGAAGAAACAAAGGAGAGGGTATTTTCGTCCACAGAGAAAACAGATAACAAGAAGAAACAAAGGAGAGGGTATTTTCGTCCAACTTTCTGTTGGGTTTTTTTCACTTCAAAAAACTTACGTAAAACACCAAAAACAGTTCGTACTTATACTAGAAAAGAAAAACAAAACTAACTTATGAGTTTATCTCTAAATTGCTGGAAAGATGATAATGACTAAAGAAACTCAAAAAATAAATAAGATAAGAGATAAATCTTCTAATCTTCTGGATTGTTCCAACATTTCCCCCTTTAATCCAGAAGTGGTTACTTGCTTCACTCCTAGCAAGTTTCTCATCTCTTCAAACTTGGTTCTTGACATCGACTTCGTGAGAATATCTGCCCGTTGCTTATTGCTGTTCACATGTTGAATTGTAACTTCTCCATTCTCAACACATTCTCTTATATAATGGAATCTTGTATCGATATGTTTACTCCTCCCATGAAACACGGGGTTCTTTGCCAGATCAAGAGCAAATTTGTTGTCAATGTACAGTACCGGTGGCTTGATGTTACAATTTGTTATCTCGCTAAGCAACCTTCTGATCCAAATTCCTTGACACGTTGCTGTGGTAGCTGCCATGAACTCAGCTTCACAGGTAGAAAGAGCAACACACCGTTGCTTTTGTGATGCCCAGGTAACTAAGTTTTCATTGAGGTAGAATGTCATTCCGCCTGTGCTTCTTCTATCATTCACATCTCTTGCATAGTTGCTATCCGTGTAACCGGTAATAATGTCTTCACCACTACCTCTTGCATAAATCAGACCATAATCTACTGTCCCTTTCACATATCTCAGGATATGCTTCACAGCCTTCAAGTGTTGAACTGTGGGTCTCTCCATGAACCTGCTTACCAACCCGACAGCAAAAGAGATATCAGGCCGGGTATGGGTTAAGTTCCTTAGTGCACCAACCACACTCCTATATTTAGTAGCATCTACCTGGCTTCCATTTTCATCCTTGGTTAGTTCCAATTTAGGCTCCATGGGGTATTTACACGCATTGCAGTCATTCATACCTGTTTTCTTAAGTATTGTCTTAGCATAGGCTGCTTGTTTCAATGTGATTTCACCTTCGTGTTGATGGACTTCAATTCCAAGATAATATGACAACTTTCCCAGATCACTCATCTCAAATTCCTTATTCATCTGATCCTTAAATTTCTTTATCTCTGTATCACAATTTCCAGTGACAATAAGATCGTCAACATACACCCCTACAATCAAAAGCTTTCCATCTTTGTTTCTTGTGTAAACAACATATTCATGCATGCATCTTTTGAACCCTAGCCGCTTAAGACACATATCCAATTTTGCATTCCAAGCTCTAGGAGCTTGGCGGAGCCCGTAAAGTGCTTTGGACAACTTGTATACCTTATTCAGCCGATCACGGTTTACAAATCCTTCTGGTTGGACCACATACACTTCTTGTTCCAATTCTCCATATAAAAATGCAGATTTAACATCTAGGTGGTGTACAATCCACCCGTTTTTACCTGAAAGGGCAAGTAGAATTCTTACTGTTTCAAGTCGTGCAACGGGCGCAAACACTTCATCACAATCTATCCCGGGCTTCTGTACGTAGCCCTTCGCTACTAGTCTGGCCTTGTGCTTTATCACATTACCATTTGGGTCCCTTTTTAGTTTATAAACCCATTTGAGTCCAATGGGTTTACGACCTGGTGGTAAGTCTACGAGGTTCCAAGTATGATTTCTTTCAATTGCGTCTAACTCACTTTTCATCGCCTTGACCCAATTTTCATCCTTTGTAGCCACAGAATATGATGTGGGTTCGTCCACATCTTACAAAAATAAAAGCTCGTCACAATTATTATAGAGATCAGTTAACAAGCGATACTTTTCTGGATAATTTCTTCCCGTCGAGTTTGTTAAGGAAACACTTGGACCAACCGAGCTATCTGATTCCATGGGTGTAGAGAGAGATTCTGGAGTGTTCATTGGCTGTTGCTGCTCATGCGAGGGGGTTTGGGTCAAGTCTTCGGTTGCACTCTCAGGGTGTAATGGTGTGGAATGTTGATTTTCTGAATCACCATTATGGCCTAGTGAGTTGTACCCTTCAAGGAAAAAAGTGGCTCCTGTAATTGTCTGATGCTTTTCTGTTTCATTTTCAACGAGTATGTGGAAGTTTTTGAAAGCACTGAATGCTTCATCTTTTGTTTTTATCATAAAGACCCACATAATACGACTGTAATCATCGACTAATAGAAGAAAATACCGATTACCAGAAGGCATGGGCGGTGATATTGGACCACAAAGGTCACCATGAACAAGTTCAAGTCTTTTCCCAGCCCTATAGTTCGTTTGAGTGGGGTGATCTATTTTAGGTAACCCATGAACCATTTCTTTTTCTGTAATTAGTTTTATAGCAGGAAAATTCACATGACCAAGGCGTGCATGCCATAGCCATGATGGCTCATCTAAATTTGCTAACAAGCATATAGGTCCAGATTCATTCAAGATAATTTTGTACAAGCGATTTTGAGAGCGTTTTACCTTCATAAGTAATTTCCCGTTCCTGTCATGAATCCACAGAAAAAGGTCACGCATCAACACTTCATCTCCATCCTCTGCGAGTTGGCCCAAGCTTATGATATTGCTACATAAGCTCGGGATGTAGTACACCGCTTGTAGCAATCGTTTTTCACCATTTTTGCATTGAAATAAGATCAAACCTTTACCTTCTATACACACCTTCGAACCATCCCCAAACTTTACATGTCCTCGGACACTAGTGTCAAGCTCAAGAAACTTCTCTTTCTCGCCCGTCATATGGTTGCTTGCCCCGTTGTCCAAGTACCACACGTTGGACCTATTGAAGTCGTCACTAACAGATCTCAACTTTGGATTTACTTTTTCCTCATTGAAGAACACTTCTTCACATGATTTTCTTGTGTTCTTTACTGCCAGTAGTAATGCCGGCTCATCATCGTCATCTGCTTGTGCTAGGTTAGCTTCTTGATTTCGGTTAGCCTCTTGATTTCTTTCTCGCCGTGGATTTTTGCACTCGGCAGCATAGTGACCGTATTCTTGGCAGTTATAGCATTGGATCTTGCTTTTATCACGATTCTGGAATGAACCACGACCTCCTCCTCGTTCTTGGGAAGTACCACCTCCCCGACGGCCTCCCCGATTGTTATGGTTGCCACCTCTTCCACGACCTCTACCACGGCTACGCTCAAGCCACTCCTGATGGGTTAGTAACAACTCTTGTCCTTCTTCAACTTGTTTCTTTGATCTGTCAAGCCATTCTTGATGAGTAAGTAATAACTTTCTATCGTCGGTTTCGGTCTGACTACGCACCCTTTCTTCATGAGCTTTCAATCTCCCAATAACCTCCTCAACCGTCATTGTTTCAAGATCCGCAAACTGCTCAATTGTCGAGGCAATTTGCAAAAACTTACCTGGTACCGCACGAAGCAGTTTTTTCACAACATATGCCTCATCCATGGTTTCTCCCAATGCCCGGATGTTCCCAACTATGTCATTTATCTTCATGGAAAAATCATCTATGGTTTCTGTTTCCTTCATGTTCAGGATTTCGAATTCCGTCTTTAGTGTTTGGACTTTTGCAGTCTTTACCCTGTCTGCACCTATGTACATAACCTTCAATGTTTCCCATGCTTCCTTCGCTGTTTGCTTCTCCGCAATTGACAGCAACAGGTCTTCCGGAATTCCATGATAGATGGCGGGGAGTGCCATCTTGTCTTTCTTCACGCGAACTGGGTTTTGGGGATTCTTTGGCTCCACAGCATCCCACACTTCTTGAGCCTGCATAAAGACCTTCATCTTTATATCCCAGGCTGTATAGTTGCTTCTGGATAGCATAGGGTACTGAATCTTCGATCCTTCCATGGTGGGGCTTTACTTCTGTGATTATCGAAGTCTGGTAGGTCTTTGGTAAGTAGGCTCTGATACCAAATGTAAACAGATCCTTCTTAATTCAGAGTAGAAAAATGGTGAACAGAGAAAACAGATAACAAGAAGAAACAAAGGAGAGGGTATTTTCGTCCAACTTTCTGGTGGGGTTTTTTTCACTTCAAAAGACTTACGTAAAACACCAAAAACAGTTCCTACTTATACTAGAAAAGAAAAACAAAACTAACTGATGAGTTTATCTCTAAATTGCAGGAAAGATGATAATGACTAAAGAAACTCAAAAAAATAAATAAGATAAGAGATAAATCTTCTAATCTTCTGGATTATTCCAACATGCTGGACTAATGTTATTAGGGAATAGAACGGTGGAGGACACCGTGTTGGGGGAAAAATAAAAGAAGAGAGTAAAAAACAACACGTGGAAACCAATATAAGAAAAGGGAAAATAATCAAAGAAAACCCACAAGACCAACCAAAAAAAATCCAGCCAATCAGATGAAAATACTGTTCACCAAGGAGTTTAGAATTAGTAATATTATATAATATATAATGACATTTCAATACATAATTCTTTCCATAAATTATTTTTGATGAACCATTACGTTGAAAGACATTTTTTACATAATTCTTCTACAACAAAAACAACCTATCATGATTATCCCAATTGTTGAACTGTACGAGTTTCTAATTCTTTTGTTTCATTATACCTACAAAACAAATCAACCAACTCCAAAAACATAAATATATCCTTCAATAAAACTAAGATAATATCCAAATAGAAATCAAGCAATTATTGATACAAATGTTACATCCATCATCAGTGAAATTTATATTTTTCTATACACAACTATTCATTTTTTAATATTTTATTTACTTTGGGAATAATTATTGTATATCATCAAGTATTAAACACAACATCTATGACCACAACATAACTCCTTGATTCACCCATATTTTCTAAAATAATTTTCACAATATAACATATTTAACTATGGTTTGAATTAAAAATATTAAAAAAATAATTATTAAACATAATATAAAATCGTTAAAGATAAATGAAACTAAAAAAGAAGACAAGAACAACGACTTATATCACCTACCCTGCTCACTTTATATGTATTCAATTTCTATGTTGATCTTAAGAATCAAATGGATGAATATACATACAAAAAAAACCAATAAATACATTAAAACTCACATCCAACTAGCACAAGATCCTATTTCAGTTTCTTCACTTTTTATCAGCTAATGAAGAAAACATGTCAAAAAAGTACAAAGATGAACTATAACAATATATTCATTGTATGTTCTTTGGAATATGACACAATTTCGAGAACAAAATATTCACCGTTATTGCTTTGTGCAAGTATCATATTAGATGAAAATGTAACTAGACACGATATATTTTTAGCGCAATAGATTCAATGGATGAAAACATGCACCTAATAAACACAAAGGTGATAAATACATGAAAATACACATCTAAAAAATATAACAAATTAATTATTAATTCTCCTTTGATCAATACATGTGTTGCCTGTTCTTACAAACAAGTTTCCAAAATGAAATTATTCACTATCATCATTATATGCATGTACACAAATTTTATAAAATATGTTAGAGCTAGAAATTCTTAATGTTTATTAGTGATATTAAGGTTAGCATATTGTCTTGTATATGATGGCATACTTGAATAAGATGGCAAAATTGGATATGATGCCATACTTGGATACGGTGGCATAATTGGATACTGTGGAATAGTTTAATACCATGGCATACTTAGATATGATGGCACACTTGGATACTTTGGCACAATTTTATATGATGTGTCATCATGGCACCTCGAAGAAATGTCGTGCATAGAAGGTGACACCAAGTGTGATGGTGCCAATCAATGTCACATTGATGTGTCATCATGACACCTCAATGATGTGTCATGTACTGGAGGTGCCATAAATTGATATAGGGTGCCAATAAGAGACCATTTGTGCCATGCAATGGCTTATTATGATTGTTTGATAGCTTTTATGGGCTTAGAAATTAATATGCTTGGCCAATTTAGGTTTAATTCTGATCCATAGTCAATAAGTAGGGATGACTGCTAAGCTATTTGAAACACTATTTAGTGTCTTGAACTATAGAGTGATAGGAGAATATTTATTAAATTTTAACCTCTGTTTGAGAACTCATAAATAAAGCATACTCCCCTCTCACCTGTGAACAAAGGTCACCTTGACCGAACCATATAAACATTATGTCTTGTATGCTTTTGCTTTTTTCTCGTTATCTGTATTACTTCGTAACAAGTGGTATGTGTGTTGTTGTTGGTGTTTTGTTGATAGAAGATGGAATCTCACATATTTGATTTGGAGAATTCAATGGTTCGAATGATTTCACTTTGTGGAAGGTGAAGATGAGGGCTCCTCTAGTTAAACAAGGATGTGTAGTGGCACCAGAATGACTAGAAAAACTACCAAGGACATGGCGGCTAACCATAATATGTATTATGATGAAGGCACATAGTGCCATTTTGTTGAACTTGATAGATGAAGCACCGAGGGAAGTTGTGGATCAAACAAACTGCTTGTGGTCTAGGAGAAACATAGTGATAAGTAGCAGAACAATTCTCTTACGAACATGTTATATTATAAGCAACATTTATACACTCTTAGAATGTCTGAGAGTACCCAAATGAAAATCATTTGGATAACTTCAATCGTCTAATCCTAGATATACAATGGCTTGATTTGAAGATTGAAGACGAAGATCGGGTGCTCATTCTCTTATGGTATCTTGCAAACTCATATGAGAATTTCTTTGATACCATGTTATATTGTACAAAAATGATCAACGTGGATGATATGAAGGATTCGTTGTTATCCAAGGAACTGAATAAGAAAAGTTTCAGTTGGTAAAGAATGTTTTAATCCAGGTTTTAGTAGTGAAAGGAGAATAGAAGAGAAGAAAGGGGGAAATAGAGGGAGGTCACATTCAAAATTAAAGTCTAAATGATGATCAAAGACAAAATGTTATCACTACAATGAGAAGGGGAAATTCAAAGG